TTCAATAATTTGACTACAAAACACAGATTGTAATAATGGAGTCAGATAATTGTACACATCTTAACACTGATACAAATGAAGGATCTTTTTGACCTTCTCTCCCAGCCTTCATTAGATTCCCTTAATTTTGTAAATGAAAAATATTTCTTCAGCCCTATTATTTTGTAGGTATAGTTTTATCAGATATAGACGATGTTTTAAAATGCCAAAGTTAACATCTTGCGTACTGTTATTCTGACACTTTGTTTGCATTTTCAAGACTATTTTATTATTTTCTGGAAGTATGGCACTTGATTCAAAAGCCTAGGGTCTCAAACGGTACCTGTAGAGAAAAATATAGATATGAGGAGCATGTTAGTCTTATATTTATGTAGTTGTAGTCTCCCTTTATTCGATAGCCTCAACTTACACAACATGAGTAAGTTACATTATAATGTATCCATCGGTAATGTCGCCATATATACTTCATTTATCAATTACTAGAGCGGGTTTAGTACAGACAGCGTCGGAGAGGACTGAAGCACACCTATTGGAAGCAAATTGATACAATGTGAATATGAAGCATTTGCCTATAATGCAATAAGTTATAAAAAATTCTTCTTATTAAGCTTATTTTGTGTAGTTTACAAGATATTGCCGTAATCAGAACTGAAATATTTAACATTTTATCTCTTAAATCAGGCAAAATAGCCTCTATATTTAGCTTGAACCGCTAAGCCTGCCAAAAGTATTTAGTCCATACATTCTAGTATTACATGTTTCCTTACGACTAAAACAATAAGAATTCACTTTACTTTATTTTACATCCGCCGGTATCCCTAATTTCATTACATATCTTTAAATTATATTACAGAACAAGGGTAGCCCTGGGCCAGGATTCGTGCTCCCTGTAGGTTTTGTTCCTGGGCAGGCGTTTGCATTGACTGATTGTCGTAAATTGCGTCTCACCGATGCTACAGGAGCTCGTCTTGTCAGGCTTGTACGCTTGCGCAACTTGTGGCCCTCTGCCCGTGTAACTTGGGCCGGAGCCTGGTCAGAAGCATCAGCCGAATGGCTCAGCCTACCAGCTGAGGATCGAGTTAAAGTAGGCCTTGTCAAAGGAGATGGAGAATTTTGGTGAGTGCATTAGAAGTCCTTTAAGCACGAGTTATTGGTACAAAGTAAATTGTTGAAGTAAAAAATAGTTTTTATTTAATAATTTAGAATTTTAAGGAAGAATGCTTTTTATGAAGATAATATTCCTTTTATAGAGGTTGTTTGACCTTGTTTTCGCAACTTGGTCATATTGGTAGGAAGACTTAAAGGAGCGCACCTAGTCCGAAGTCCATGTCCAAAGTTGAACCATGGACGTTGTACATTCCCAA